TGATGACGATTTAGCTGAAACTCTAGATTTTGTAGAAAGGAAATATAAAGAACGTGTTAGTGAAGAGATAATGGAGAGAATTAGGGAAAGGAAACTTCGGGATCAAAACTTATCTTCGGATAATAGTTCATCGGACCAATCTAATTTATCGTGTGATATATCGCGAGAACAGAAAAATAACCAATCAAAGATAAAGTCTCCTTGTCTCGAGTTCAAATTATCTACTGATCAAGTGCAAAATGACATCCCTGAACTAAGTGATATCCTGTCCCAAATAGCAGAAGCTAGTACATTGGTAATAAAAATTTCCTATAATCAGAAAGTAGAACAATGTTTATTACATGAGTTATTTGAATTTATCAGAGGCACCGATTCCATGTCCTTACAAAGTCTAAAGAAAACTCCATTGAATTCTATCTTCATTAAACAAATTTCGGACATTCCTGTTAATATAGATCTAACTCCAGGTTCTGCACCTCATTTAGCTCGTTTATTTGGCAAGGCCGAGAAAACTGGACGAAAAGAAAAATTGTAATGGTATTATTATAGCGAGGAATATGAAAAAAAAGTTTCAAATCTTAGTTCAGAAAAAAATATTGGTGATCAAATGGCGAGAACGCAAATATATGATGAAATGATGCAGTATCTACCTGGTATCAAGAGAGAGTATTTGCGTAAGATGACTCAAAAGGCTAGAACTATCTGTACATTATTCAAAAGGATAGGAATAGATAAAATCGAGTACATTACATATAGTGTTGATGCTATTTCTAGTTTAACCGGTACACAAATTCAAAATATTATAAATCTTTATACTAAAGAATTAGATGCGAAAGTATCATCATCTGAATCTCAAAAATTGATCAGCGTGAAGAATTCTTCACACGTATATGGCCAATCAAAATCAGATATAGAAATTAAAGCATGTGAAAAAACTTTATCAGAAACTGAGGTAAGCGATATATTATACCTGCTACCCAAATTCAAAATCCAAATGCCAAAATCCCAAATACCGAAATCCCAAATCCCAAATCCCAAATTATGATTAGTATTTTTTGCTGAAATCCCAAATCCCAAATCCCAAATACTAGTAATTTGGGATTTTGGCGTCCCAAATCCCAAATGATTTGGGATTTGGGCAACACGTATACGATATATCTATTTCCTCTATTCAGTCATCACATATTTTTAATTCGGAAGATATAGTAAATGAAAATAACGAATTTTCAGAAACCGTAACTATAATTGATAGCTTTTCAGATTCCAAGGAATTCTCTGATAGTGATGGGGAAGTATCTTCTGATGACAATGACTCCAATGCTGATGAAACGAATTTGAAAGATTCATCTAAGGTAAATACTACACATAAACGTGCCGATTTCTGTAATAAAACATTAAAACAATACCCTAATTTATATAAAGAGTGTAGTGATAGAAATGACGATTATTATGGTATTACTGATGAATCTTTATGCCCGCTATGCAAGTTAGATCATTATGAGGATTATGGTATAAAAGGCAGATGTAAAAATGGATCCTATTTTATTAAGTGTAAACAACGTGGAATTAAAATTGAAATAATGGCATAAACTTGCCTCTCGCGATTGTATCATTCGAAGCTAACTATATTAATCTAGATATGAGCTTGCTGTATATTATTACGAAGTAATGGGCTATGCCCTATTTTTTGTTGGTTATTACCAATTTAAAGAGATGCGAGGTCATATAAAACGGCAACATGAATACATTAACTCCCGAATATTTGAAGTGGGAAGCTAAATTAACAGAATTGCCAAACATTTTGATAGATAAAATTCGTTCTAGGTTTTGTAAAAGATATAAGAAAAAAACTGGGCTCGATCCCTGGTTAAACTCTGAAACTTTCGAATCCTCTCAAATCGAAAAGACTGATAATCATCTTTCACGAGACTATATCATCAAAATTTTCAAGTTTCCGGAAGAGAAAAGTACAATCCATGAAGCAGTACATAAACGTTTTCCTTTCTTATCATATACTAATTCAAATGCATGGCGCCAGGATGTTTTTAAATATACTGATTCAGAAGCTAAATGTCCGGTATGCAAAGAAGTACATACTCGTTTAGGTATATGGGGTGATTGGAGCTGTCTCGGTAAAGATAAGCACTATTTTCTTAATTGCCCTTTTCGCATAGATCAAAAGAAAGTTATAATTGCTGTACAGAGCTTACCGGAAACTCAAGTAAGGGTACCAAACAAAACTCGAGAGGTAGATCCTGAAAAAATTTTGATCATTACTGAGGTTGAGAAAAAAAGGTGAGATGGAGAATGTTTTTGTGAGGACTTGGAAAGGGATATACAGTTCTATCGTGGTGGAATAGAAAGGAAGAAAGATCCTAGAAAATACTGTGAATTTTTAACAGATCGGAATAGGCTAGTCGGTGAAGAATTATTACGTCGTAGTATATTAGAAAGTGGTTTAAGTACTGTATGGCTCGATGATCTTATGGAAGAATGGCAAAAAACTTATAATCAATTCATACAAATTTTCTATCAGAATTTCGATCCTATTGAGGAAAAGACTTTATTTGTACCACGGGTAAATGTTCTCTCTACACCATCCAGACAGCAATTTTTAACTTTTGTTCTACCTAAAGACCCAGAAGAAAGGCAACAACACGTTATTGAAATGGTATTAGAACGATTTCCTTATTTGACTCTGAAACATAGTTTTAACAATGATTACTTCGATTTTAACAGTTCTATATCCTGCCCTTTATGTAATAAAAACCATAAAAAAGAAAATATAAGAAATCGTATAGAGGGTATATGGGGTAGTGGCGAATTTTGCGGTGAAAAGGCTTATCATCTTTATTGCTATACAAATAAATATCAGAATTCGATTCAAATAGTTAGTATAAAAGCATAAGTTAACTTGACTTCGACAATGCATATATAACGATAAACCATTTTCCTGCGATTACATGGGTTGCATAAATTACAACCACGATCAGATTCACACTCAATTATTAACGAAACACGAAATAAAAAATTAGGCGCATTTATACTAACACGATTAAAATTTATTTCATAGATTGTGACAGCTTGTCACAACGTCACGTGAGCTTACAATGGATTATTATTACAGAGTAGTGAGGT